ATCGTCTCATTTATGCTGATGTGTTCAAACTGCAAACAAACAAAACGCCAAATAAACAAAAATGTGAAAAATGTTGAGCTGCAGCCTAAACGGACTCAATAACGCACGTAATCACTCGAAGATGTGCGAGCTCCGGATATCTCAAAGAGTATGGACTCGTGTGTAATCAGAGTACAGATAAGAGCTGAGAGACGCAGCGGCGTGCTGTGTCTGTGCCGGAGTTTCTGCTGCGAGTTGTGCAAGCTGCTGGCTGTCAGTGGCTGTTAGCACGGAAAATCCGATCCAGCTCCGAGGTCGCTGAACAGAATTCCAACGGGGGGAAGGCAAGGTAGAGCGTGGAGCGTCTGCTGATGAAGCAAACTCTATCGAGGTGGTGTGAGTGCACTTATATGATTACTGGACATTCCTGTCCACAAACCCGACTTCTCAGAGCCAAACAGCACCTCCAGGTGGTGCCAAGCCCAGCCAGGAGACGCAGGAGGCAGCCGTGTGTGTATAACGGGGTTTTAAAAGGAGGAAACATAATGAAGAGGACAGGAGACAGCATGCAGAGAGGCGCTGAGTGAGCTGGTTTTGTGTGTTTGTGCCACAGGAAGAATCAAACTAAATGTCCAGCAGATCAAAGCGTGTTTTCCCTTTGTTTTCAACACCTGTGAGCTACGATGTTTGGTTGTAGATCTACGTCAGCTTGATGCTCGGCATGTAAACAGAGCAAAAAAAATCCACTCACCGCTTTCGCTCTTCTCGATCACGTCCACCGTCTCGCCGGCCTTCAGGCTGATCTCAGAGTTCTCCTGCCGCTCGTAGTTGGCCACGGCTACGTACTGCTCCAGCACCATGGGCTCCGAGCTGTCGATCCCTGAGGGGAAGAAACAGGCCGTCAGCCACCTGCCCGCCGTGGCACCCCGCGAACGCCCGCCGCAACCAACCGCGCTGCCGCCGCGCGCCCGGTACGTCTCCATCGGCCGAACCCCGCTCCCCGCCGCTGCGCGTCCCTGCCCAATCAGAATGCGACCACACGACTTGGCTGCATAGTCCCAAACGTCTGGCCATACAGCTGAGTCGACCCTTGGCCCGCAGCGAAAGACCGAGGAGCATCGGAAGGAGTCAAAACACAAGCGAAGAAGCGAGGGGAGACGTTTGTAGGCGCTCCATCTGACATCTACAGAGGATCCATGACCTGAGGCAAACTCCCGAATCCAAAAAGGAAAGAGAGAAAAAAGGAGGGAAACAGCAGAGCTGCTAACGTCTGAAGGGAAGACTGGGGAACGAATGAGTGGAGGAATGGTGAAGTTTCCCTGTGGAAAATCAACAGTGCGGTTGAGAGGAAAGGCCTCCCCTCCGCCGCCTCTGGGAGCCAGCCGTTGGACGGGGGAGTCTGAGGGGGGGTGAGCACACCAATCATAGCAGTCGGCACTGCTGGCCTTAAATAGAAACATATGAGGCGACTAGAGAGAAACAGAGGAGGAGGCTGGGTCCATGTTTACGTGAAACAAAAGAAGAAAGAGTTGCAGTTGGGTTAACCCGCTCTGTTTTCTCCCTCCAGTGTTTAACCTCTTAGACGCCACGCGTCACATGCTGCCTATCAGAAACGCTTATTTGCCTGTTTGGCCACGGCGAGGTGACCCCATGCAGACTCAGATGAACTTGACTAGCAATTACTCCACATCCTGTTGTTCACAGAGACGCTTTAGCGAGAGTTTCAGGAACCGAACGTTAATGCAGGAAGTAAAAACAAACAGGT